CTTGATTATTTCGAGGTCACCGCTGTGCAGCACTGAGGATTTAGCCACCTTTTTTTACTCTTACGAGTATATGCCAGCAGACAGACACGGCACTTCAGCGTAATCGTCATCGCCCCTTTGGTCATTCATACGAAAGCTTAAAAACTCATGCGAATTCATACAAGTATGTCGACTGATTGACGGGCCCTGTTGGGATTAAGAATTTATCATATCTATCACTAATTCATATTCTATTACAATTCTTCGATTATTTGGTTGTCTAATTCAATTATTTGTTAGCTGTTGGATGAGATCGGAACAACTGAAGACTGAATGGTGTAACTTTTAACATATATGTATATATATTTCTCATCACTTCGGGTCGTTCGATCTATTTTGAAAGAGCTAAATAAGCAGCTGATATTAAATCCTTCTAGGTTTCAAAATCCGTCATAGAGGCAAAATTGAAAGGTGCTGTATATGTACATATGTTCTTCTACAGCCCTCCGCTACTTGTGGGCTATAATGCAAGATACCCTTAGTCGCTGATTTGGGTTTTGTGGTTGTTGTAACGTCACAAAACCTTCACCATTCAGTTATGAAGAACAAAGCGTTGGCTTTGACTGACTTCTTTTGAATGGAGTTTTTGCTGGAGCTTTTATGACTCAGGGTGGTTATAATGTACCCAAATCAAATATTTTTATAAGACTGTGTAATCTCCAAGTCAACCATTCACAGCTTTTTTGAAGGCCACCATAAAAATTTTTTTAGGTTAAAGTCCTAACTCTTTGAAACAGCTGAGAGTCTCATAAATGCTACACAAACATTTCGATGAAGTTGAAAAAAATAATTCAATAATTCATTTTAAACCCTTCTTGTCGCCAACTCTTTCACCTCTCCTCATATGTGATTCAGATATTTTCTACTGGCAAGTACATTTCTCAAAGGTGCATTCCCATGCATATTGTATGTATGAATATATGTATGTACCGCAGTTCATTTGCCGACAAGAGTAGTAGGATTTTATGAATGTGTTTTGCTAAGCACAAACACAAACACACATAAACTTACTCGCAATGAAGATGTTTCAGTTGCAGTTTTCTTCATCAGCATTTCCCCAGCGTCCTTCAGCAAACGTTGCAGCGACACTTGTAATCTGTCTGCAGCTGAATCGCTCGGTCTCACATTCCTGCCATTCGAAGCTCTTGTACATGCTCGTCGCCATATGAGCGAGGGCATCGGAAGTGTGTGTCTCTAAGTGTATGTGTGGGTGCCTGCTTGCATTAGTGCGCGTTTGACGGCTCACCGTTGGGAGCGAGTGCAACAGCGAGGTGGTGGTCGGGTCGGGTCGGGGTCGCGTTGGGTCTTATGTGTCATGTGAAATCGTAAAACGCTTTTGGTAGGAGCCCAGGGTGGCTTTTATGATGCCAGACAATCTAATGGATTCAAAGGTTGAGCCGGGAGAGTAGATATTGGGGGAATGGGATGCAGTTTCGCTGAATGGAAGACTGCTGGACGATTGAGCAAACGGACGGAGGAAAATCGAGGAAAGTGAATGCAGTGATGCGCAAAACGTTTGGTGGAAAGCGTTTTTTCGTTTTTTCCGTTACACGCTTCGCCCTCGGCACGCCTTCCGTCAAGTGGCGATATGCATATGCAAGTACGTACATACATGTATTTCTATGTATATATACATACGGACATAGCGGCAGACACACGTGCACAGACGCACGCATGGCAGGGTTCACACTGGTGGGACGGACAGACGGACAGCTTGATGGTGTATTTGTATGCCATGCAATACTATACTTATGCATACAAATATACAAATGTATGTATGGATATGTGAGTGAGTGTTTGTGCAACTATTGCGGATCAAGAGCATGTAATTATTGGTAGATAAATTTTACCATAAATGATATTGGGTGACGCCAGTGAAGCGTAACAGCGAAGGATAGCCAACATCTTTCATATGTCCTTCTTATCCCGCTCCGCTGTCAAGCGTCGCCGTTGTTGTTCGCAACGTCATTATATTTGCAGATATATGTATGTATGTACGTGTGTGTGTCGCTTATTCTTGACTAACACTTGCGCAGCAGCATTGCAATTTAACTCTCACTGAATATTCACCACTTGAGTGATGCGATGAGTGCTTGTGGCCAGAGCACGCGCTTGATTGCAACGGCTGAAAGGAATCGGAACGTAGCCGCAATTCGTTAGCGACAGCGTTGCCTTCAAAATTGATACATTTACAAGGATATGTGATTATTATGTGGGCGCATATTAATTGAATCGAAATTGGTTGGTACCGCTTCAGCGTGTACAACAATAACAACTGTAATTAAATTGCATGGCAATAATTCAGTGAAATGAGATTTCTGACGCTGATGTGGCGGATGTAGATGTACCATACTAAATTGATAGAAATGACACTGCAAATATTTGAGATATCTTGCACAATTATTTTAAATGAAACGAGAAAAAACGTTAACTTCAGTTGCAACGAAGTTATAATACCCATACAGTTTGTATGTGCAGCTCTTTGTGTAGCTGCTTGTGGAGAAAAGGACGTATGCAAAGTTTCAAATGAATATCTCATCTCAAAAGCTGTAGGACTAATTCGCGTATATATAGACAGACGGAAATCCACTCGTCCTCGCTTCCTTTGGGTGTTTCAAATTTTGCGGCAAACTTAATATATCCTCTTTAGGGTATTAAAATTTAATCCGAATTTTGACTATACTTTCGATAAAAGCAAAACCATTCTTCATTCTAATTCATTCCTCTAGCAAACAATTTTAGATCCAGCGCTAAAGGGTATTGAAACTTTGAGAAAAAAATCCCCCCCTGGTACCGGAGGTGATACCGATCTCTATAGAGAACATTGTTAATCGCATCTTTCTTGGAATTGATAATAGCTCGTAACACTAACAATCCAATGCTGAACCACGCTTGGAAAAATGATTTTTTTAAGGAGATTTCAATACAAATGCTTCATGAATAAAACCCGTCATAAATATGTAACGAATGATCCAAGTGGAGGCACTTTTTTCAATAGCCTTTTCTGACTTATTTTCGTATATCAAGCTGTTATGTTATTATTATACAGATTTATTTGACATTTCAACATGGAAAGACTTACGACTGAATAATGTAAATTTTTACGAAAATTCACGTTTTGTAAAGAATGTGTGACGCTCGTTCCACTCACCTTCAGCCATCTTGAAACCCAGCATTTTTTATTGGATATTATTCGAACGAATACAACACTCCCGAAAAAGTATAGCAGCAGACTCAGGCGACATCGCTTCGCTCTAAAAGAGCCGACGTTTTCGAGCCAAATTTTAATCAGCCCCATTCCTGGCTCAATGTAGATATGTAAACAAGCAAAATTCCCGTATTTGAGACGAAGAGCAACCTGAATAGATTTAAGAGCTGCCATTTCATCCCGAAAAAACAGCGGTTTGGTGTAGTTTGTGCCGGTGGATGCCAGGGAGAACATAACCGTCAATGGCGATCGTTATCGCGCTATGATAACCGAGTATTTGATGCTTGAAGGGGGGCACTTGGCAACACGTTTGGTTTCAACAAGACAATTAATAGAATTTTCGTATTCAATGTCGAAATAATCCGAAAGAACCTTTTTGTCCTTCAATGTATTTAGTTTAGAGTTAGAGATAAATATAGTTTGGTATAATTATTCTATACGTTTCAAAAATGAAGATTGTTCACATCTTTGGTTCCTTACATCGATATTACTTTACAGGACAAGCGTATGAAATTACAGTCTTCTTCTTATCCTTTGGCGTAGAGTGTAGCCAGGTCGTACTCCCCTGATCTTTCTGACGTGGTGGAGGACTTCCTCTTCTTCTGCTTCCCCGGACGGGTACTGCTTCGATTGCTTTCAGAGATGTGGGGTGTTTTCATTTATTTGGACGGCATGGCCTAGCTAGCGTAGCCGTTGTCTCTTAATTCGCTGAACTATGTTAATGTCGTCAAATATCTCGTACAGCTCTTCGTTCCGTCGACTGCGRTATTCACCGTTGTCAATGTGCAAAACACCATAAATCTTCCACAGAACCTTTACACAGCCGTATTAGTTTTGCGAAATTCAGATATAGCGGCGAAAAGGTTCTTTTTTGTGTTTTTAAAACCGACGAGTTTTAGTCTAGAGTCGAGAGGTGATGTGTGTCGATCCTCCTTTCAAAGGTGTTTTCCAAGGTTTGTCCCTTCGTGAAAATCTAGTCAGTTGTTGATTTTCCAGGCCCGAAGTCACACTGATAAAGTCCAATCAACTTGTTGACGGTGGGCTTCAATCTTTCACACAATATGCTCGAAAGAGGCTTATACGCGATGTTAAGACCGCTTATCCCACAGTTGTTGGTGCAGATTGTGGAGTCTCCCTTTTTGTGGATTGGGCAGAGCATACTTAAATACAAATTGTCGGGTATGCTTATGCTTTCGTCCSACCATATTCTGCAAAGCAGTTGATGCATGTTTCWTATTAACACCCWCTGAGAAGAATTCCCGCCATAATTATATTATGCTTTRAGCATCAGTCAACAGATCACCTCTAGGACGTTCTACAAGAGTATGCAGCGGTTTCGAATCTTTCTGTTAGTCCTAGTCGTATCTTTTCGTAAAATTTTCGAGCATTAACCCTGTCGGCCGGCTTACCCAGACCCATATGAAAAATGGTCATGTCATATCATGCAAAGTCCTGTCATTTGACACCGTCTGATTGCATTTTAAAGGAGTTCCATGGTGTGTACTGATAAGGCTCGCTATACTGAAAAAAGTTACACAAAATTGAACCGAAAACATTGTCTCCATAAGACGTACTTACGATCCTAAAATATCGAATGCCATAAAARGTCTGATAATGAAGTCATAATACATATAATTTCTTTAAGTCTAAAAAACACCCTTTATAAATATTTCGAAACTGCTCATTAATAATTTTATACTTTTCAGAGCTACAATTCCAAGTAGTAATTATAGTTGTTTCACTCTCTTTACAGGCACAGTTGGGAAACAGATCAAAGGAGGATACTTGTTGCGTTACAAAAGTGAGTAAACAAAGGTGGAGTCCAGAGTAAATGCATTTCATTTATATTGTATAACGTGGCTCAAGGTGACTTAAACAGAAATTGCAGACTACATATTAGATAAAATAATAAGCCTCCTGTTACAAATAACAACAACAAGGCAGAAGTAATAATAAATTCGAAAGCACTATAGTCACTTGGGTTAGCACCAAGTATTACGAGCAGAAGAACTGCTTGTAACATTTTATCATAACAATCGATTCATGGCCTAATGCCACACAAATTACTACAAACACACGCATGCAAACATAACTGTATGTAGATTGCAAATGAGTACCAGAGCATGTCTTTACTGCTTGGCCAACAGACACCACAGCGTAGCATCTCGAAACTAAAATTACCAATCGCACATATGTATATAGATGTGTGTCTACTTTATTCTTTTCTGAATTCTTYTCTTTTTTTTTGGTTTTGTCTGTGTCATATACAATTTTGCCGGATTTTGCGACAATTTGCTAAATCAGCATAAGTGCAATACACATTGACATGACGCAGCAATTCCTTCCTTCCGACGCGCACAGACAATGGYTTGAATTTCCAAAGCGCGCACTAAGTGGCAGCCCCATGGGGTAAAGCGACGCAATGCCGCATTCGGTTAYACCGCTGTTCAAGCGCCACCGTTGCCTCATCCACCGCCTTCACACACATGTGGTTGGTGTGGAGGCTGTGCGCTTTGGTGAAGGCTTTTAAGGGCCGCCTGCCGCTGATGTTGGCGTTGGCGTTGTTGTCCCTGTCGTTTATGATGATGGCATTGGCATGATTGCTTTTGCTGTTGCTGCTGCGACTGCTGCTGCTTGTGCCGTTGCTGATGGTGATGATGATGGTGCAGATTACATTTGTAAGCGCATTTAAATTTTCAAGAATCTTAATGCCGCAAAAAAGGCGTTTGATACACTAACGAATTTACATGCCAAGCAACATACAAACACAGACATACATGCAATACAATATACATGTACATTTGTGGCACATGTTGAGTAGGTATACATATATATATGCATACGCTTAGATGCGTTTCCATTTGCATGTATGCATGTATGCATGTATTTATGCGTGTGTGTATGAAGTGCCCACTTGTATGGTTTCATAATTTTACCTACAAATCGCTCTCTCTCCGCAGCTTAAGCTACATGCTAATGCTGGGTAATGCAAGTTAACGCCTGTGCTTGTGGGCGGCAGCTGCCATACATACATAAGGACTAACTTCATACATACACACATAYATATGTACCAAATATGTATGTAAGTGMAAATGTCTCCAGCATGCCACATACTTGAGTAGTCACAATAATTACATTTGYAATGTTTTCTCTTGTTTTTGTAAGCATAAGTGGTTGACCTTCACCGTTAGGGAGTCAATGACAAGAGTTTCTGAAATTCGCGTCCATTTTCTAATACTTTTTTATCCTACTGTAAATATCTTTATGTTTTAGAGCAATTACTGTGGAATCGCTGGGCTGAGGAATGGGTCGTGCTGTATGATGATTCAACAATGGCTTGGTTTACGGTAAGTTCATATTAACCGTTGTGGAAAAATACATAAATCAATCAAAGTAATCCAGCATGAAATTGAATGAATACTACTTATGACAGTTTAGGTTTTTTTGGTATACTAGAACTCAATGGATAAAATATACCACTGAAAAGCTCCCTCGTCAGTATAAATAAATTTATTATTTTTACCACAAATCAAAGGTTGTATTTAGCATAATTAGAATGATCCGATTCATATCAAATATGTACGGTTTTGTTTGATAACTCATTGCTATTTTGAAGGCAATTTTATAAGGCTATTATAATAGAAACTCTCGTCTTTTTTGGCAAAAGTCGATTTTTATAAGTTTTTTTTGAGGCGCATTTTTTTACTAGCAAATTTGCTCGCTATAGACAGGATCATCTGGCAATCACTAGGTGCCAGATGCGAACTATTAACCAACGACCCCATGGCAGACACAACAACGGCGCTGTTCTCTTAGAAAATCATTCCTCTCATAATGGCTATCGTTTCCTTTAAATGGTCAAATTTTTGACGGTACAGGTCMGAGAGAGCAACTCATGTCAGATAATTCCCACCAAGCACAAAGTAGAAATCTTCCGTTTTTTCTTTAGCGTTTCGATCCATCTTTTCCTATTATTTTATCGATATTTTCGTCATCAAAATTACCAAAACGAAATCCAAATCTAATTTGAACATGATCGGCTGATTCGATTAAACAACAAAACATGGTGGATGGTGTGAGTTCAAAACTTTGCGCACACGAGTCACATTCGCATGTCGCATGTCTCCTAGCTAGGAACGCTCTCTACCGAATGCAGTCGATGCGCGCGTTCCGAAGTACAGTCGCGGCGGAAGAAAAGCAGTCCTATATATTTCTGGACAAACCTTGTAGCATCAGGACATAGACAAGAGACATTTTCCACACTAAGTAGGTAGATAATTGTAATTTAACCAGAACCCTCACGAGCTTTGATTTGAGGTATGCAAATTCTTAAAAAAGTCAAATAAAGAAACAAAAAATAAAATAAAATAAGGATAGGATAAAAAATGCTTCAAACGGAAATATTTGTTTTGGTTCATATTTTCTAAACTATCAAAAAGCAACGGCACTTATAAGAATGAGCAAATTTAAAGACAGTCCCTGTTTAATTAAATAATGTGAATTAATTTGATATATCATCTCATTACTCCAGMGAACGATTTGTTTAAAATMAAGTAMTTTATCATTTATTTAGAAAGATAATTATCTGTGAATAACTGGAAACAAAATTTCTACACATAGGAACCCGGTCGGTCATCGCCAGCTGGTAAAATCCTAGTCAAGGAAGCGCCAGAAATGTTGGCCATTGCACACTGGACTGGTCAAATACCGCGCCGTCCACCACTGCCCGAAGGGTGTAGTGTGTCACAGCTGATTGCGTTGGGCTCGAGAAGAAAGCGCTCCAAAGTYTACTGGATGTTGGCCAAATCGGAACAGGAAGTGAGGTAAATAAATGTCAACTTCTCAACGTTTTTCCTTAGCCTAATAAGTGGTCAATTTTACACATTTCCATTTCAAACGCATAGCGATTGGGTTGACGCCATTACCAAGACGGTGAGTTTATAKTCATTGGCTTAATTCATATATGTACATTCATTTGAAACTAAGCCATTGAGCTACAAAATTTACCTTAAACTGTTTTACATTAACTTTTAGCTGCCGCCACCACCACAAATTGAGCTCGTAGTTGACAAGCCGCATCTTATGAATGTCTTACGTCGGCCACTGGTGCGCATCCGCCGTAAGTTGCAACCTCTTTATCGAATATAGCATGTTACTATATGCAAATATAATTTATTTCTTTCTAGCGGCCACTACGTCGGAGGTGAAACAGCGTAAAGTTTCGGCGCATAGAAGCAGCAGCGCTCATCCGGCTTTGGCTCATCACCGCACGTTCTACGTACAGGATCCGTTGGTGAAGAGCGATGCCGCCGTTGCTATATTGAGTAAAAAACCCGATTCGAAGCCGGCTTTGGCTTGCGCATTGCCCTGGGGACACGGTTGGGGCTGGGCCACTTTGCCGAATGGTGTGTGGAGTGGCGGTAAGTAAAATAAAGTTCTAAGGAATAAGTGGTTGTTGATATGTTTTATATTAATGGTCTTTAATGCCTTTACAAGAATGACTGAAGCTAGCTAATACCAAAAGTATCACCAAAATTAAACAAAAAAATTAAATAAATACATAAAATTAGGGCCAGATGGAAATTAAATACAGGTTCTGGCACCCGAAGGCTAAATTCTTACAAAATCTGGCGAGAATATTTCATGGAGTGAGATTTGCAGGTGTAGGTGATGAGAAAAAGGATGCCCTGAAGGGTTACGAGCTTCACAATAGTTCAAGTGGTATATTTTAGTCCGCAAGGTTAATCTTAGATGATAACACTGTTTTAAGAAATATACTTAGATCATAAATATGAAGATATCTATAAAAAAACCCGCATTATTGCTGCCGAAATCTCTTTGAAGGAATTGAAAATCAAAAATTCTATTCTAAATAACCCATAATCACTAATGCCCGTCGTTCTTACTCCTCATTYAACAGGTCTCACTTGGTCGCAGTGTGAGGATACTTTTACTCTACACGCACTGCCCACCACGCACTGCACCAATCTTGTGGACACGTCATGTAGCGGCGCCGTCTATCACACCGACATCGGCGGCTTCGATTTCCATTCGACCGGCGTGGAAGATCTCGGCGGTGAGGACTTCGATTATGCCATGGATTGTGGGGATTTCATATTTTAAGCGCAAAAGCTGCTGTGCAAAAGAGAATRTGAACCCACAAAAACAGGAAGAGGATGCGCGACATTAAAAAGGCAGAAGAAAAGGAAGATAAGAATTTCAAAAAATAACAACAAAAAACATTTTAACTGAAAAAATATAACCACCCCACCCTAGAAACGAGTGCAAAGGCACTTGAACGCTTATAAGTTAAAAAACAAATGAAGCCAAAAACTAGTTTAATTAGCAGGGGCTCGAAACAAAAGCYAAATAATGGACTCACCTTCTAGTACTTTGGAATAAATTTTCACATTTTCGCTGCACCCGAGTCTTGAACGAAGAACGAGCCGAACTGCAAAAAAATTTAAAAGTAAAAATAAAAAAAAAAAAACAAGATCTATAGAAATATTGAATTATGTACATGTTAACTAATATTACGGGTAATAGGAGAACGAATTTTCAGTTGGGTTCTCAACTGCGTGACAATTTCGAGTTTTTTGCATTTTATAAACGCCTTCGTTTAAGCGAATCGACCGACCTGTRAATGGAATGGCAGAATGGATGAAAATTACTAGCCAAAGAAATATAATAAAACAGAGAAAAAACAAAAACAAACAAATAATCATAACAACAACAACAAATATGAGTATTCCAATGGATTTCAAAAGATGCCAAATTTTTGTAAGACGCCACAAAAACAGCGCAGCAGGGAAAACACTGACCCACATTTAGGCGCCGGGTGCACCTAAGGGACGGGTAGCTGGGAATTAGTATTACTTATGTGTATATTGTAGGGATGTTTACACACGACGTCGTCAATAGTTGTAGTTGAAATTTAACCAATCATAGCGCATATTAAAGCAAAAATGAAACAAAAATTTAAAATGAAAACCTGAAACAAAAAAATATAAAGAAAAAATCTGAAAAAAAAAACAAAAAGTAGCTGTAAATTAAAAAAAAGAGATTTAGCATTTTCAGCTGATAGAAGATGTTTATTTTTATGTGTATATGTACGTATGTATGTGTGAAACAACATAATAGGGGACGCAAAGAATTTAGAAACCATAGTCAAGTTTTGAACATATAAAATTAAAGCAAAAAAAAAAACGCTAAAAATATTACGTGGTATATTTGTAGGTTACTAAAACAGCAAACCAAACAGCAAAAAAAAAAAAAAAACGAAGTCAAAAATTACACACACAGTACTCATTGATCTGCCAAATAGTTTTGAAAGATATTTAAAGTAGGTATTGTATTGACATTAAAGAAAATATAAATAAAAAAAATAACAAGAACAAGGAATCGTTGTACACAAGGAAACGCCACCAAGCAACAATGCGAAACACGAGCAACATTTAATTGACAATGCAAAGTTTTTTGAAATGCCGAATTGATTATAGATTTTTTAAATGATTTTTCGATTTTTTACTGTTTTTACGTAACGAGAGATAAAATTATTACCAAAAAAAAAAAAAACAAAAAAAAAAACTAAATAATTAATTAGTAAGAAAAAATTAATTTTATCGAAAAAACTAGGCAAACCACGAGCAACATGCTGGCAATGTTCTCCGTTAAATTACATTAAAAACAATTGCCAAATTTATATAGTATATAGCGATAAACATACTTGTCGAGCAAAATAAGTAAAAACATAAAAAAATCACAAAAAAAAATTAACAACTGTTTGTATGTAGCAAAAAAAAAAAAAGTAAAAGTATATAGATTATTATAAAATTCAAGCGCACGGCATGAAAAGCGGAAAAATAAGTGTCAACAATATTTTATGTGGGGTTAAAGAAGAAAAAGCAAAGAAACAAGCTGTAATTTGTGTGTAATTTTTTTATGCAAAATACAACGGACAGAAAAGAAACACAAAKCAAATAAAAATTCAGTCATACACCAGTGTTGCATTGCACGCGAAATAAGAAATATATTTTCCAGTTACAATTACATTCGTGTAGAAATCGGCCAATCAACCGACGTTTGAATTCATTGCAGAACAAAAGTATGCTAAATACTTACAGAGATCGAAGAAAGCCAAAGTATGGTAAATGTTGTTTCATTATTGGTTGGCAGCTGATGGTCGCCCGCAACTAGTGTTCCTTCCTACACCGAAAAACCTCAACAGCACCAACAACAACAATTCATAATGTTCTAAGATATCATACATAACACTTCCATAAAATTATAGAAAAAGAGAGATAGAGAGATAACAATATTAGGTTGCCAAATATCTCCCTTCCGCGTTTTTGCTCTTAATTCCATGCTTTATAAAAAGTTTTACTGTGATCGAATTTAGTTCAAATATGAGCCGTTTCGTTCGATAATCTATTTCCATCTTGACGGCAACTTCATTATACTCACTTCGGAGAAACCCCCTTCCTTATTTGCGAAGAACTCGGACAGCCAACATTTACAAGCCTCTTTTGAGTTCAACTTTACACCAACAAGGGCGTTCGTCATGAACAGGAATAGGTGGTAATCACTTGGCGCTATGTCCGGGCAATATGGCGRAYGCGATAAAATCTCCCATCCGAGCTCCTGTAGCTTCTGACGAGTCATCAACGAAGTGTGTGGTCGAGTGTTGTCCTGGTGAAACACTACACCCTTATTGTTGGCCAACTCTGGACGTTTCTGGTCGATCGTCTGCTTTAAGCGGTCCAATTGTTCGCAGTAGATTCGGTTCAGAAGGGTGTTTTGCGTCAAATCATGCGGCATCCAAATATCAAGCTTTTAATATATTATTATTGTCGCCTTCAAAATACTTCCCATTCAACCAGCGCTCTCTCAATCGTCTAAACAATTCTCAAACTCGATTTTTGGGATTGCTTTTACCTCTTTTAGTGATTTTCATCTAACTCTTTAATGTTGAGTATATTTTTTGGCAAATAATTTAAGAAGCAAATGAGTGTGACGTTTTAACGATAGAAAATCGAAAATTTCATAAAAACACGTATAAAGCCTGCAGCCGCTAAGACAAAGTACGAGTAAGCAATGAATGCAGCTGAAATGTTTTTTTGAAAACACCACGTAAGTCACATTTTCATTATCTAATTTTCCGAAAATAATTTGAAATTATGTAAAGGAAATATTACCGATTAAAGTTAGCTCTAGGTACATTTAATCTCATTTTCCTTTCAGGATTCACTTGATTTGAATTTAAAAAAGTCCTTATTTTCGTTGTCTGAAAAATTCTCATAATTAAGGTCACAGTGCATAACATCAATTATTGTCTACCCCATTCCATGCTAGTAAGGTGGATAAATATCTTTCCAGCTCATCACACTACTTTAAACAACTTTTAAATAAGACTTCCCATTCCCTTCTTTATTTCCATTTAAAAATTTTACAACAAAAGAGTCACCAAAACCATTAAAAAGTGGTATGACAAATATCCGCATTTTATGCTGAACCACTGTAAACACACACTTACTAGTGATATTTCTTTAACTGTAATAAAATGTACGTATTTGTACGTGAAAATTCGTGCTTTCCTGCCCTACATACATACATAAATACATACATATGTATGTACATTCGTGGAAACCTTTTGACATGAAATTTTACTGTCCTTTCAGCGCACTTATTCGTTTTATGGCAGTTAATTGAAAATTCATGTTGTAATTAAATTCGTTACCATTTGTCAATTAAGCCTTGCGAACAACTCATATTAAAAATAAAAAGTTATACTCGTACATCGAATATGTAATATTTGAAAAATCTCTTAAAACTAAGACGGTTGTCATTACGCATTAACGGTCGCCATTGATGGTTACGTTCTCACCAAATCGTTGCTTTTTCTGGATGATAAGGCAGCTCTTGAGTCTCTTCGTCCAAATGCGAAAATTTTGCTTGTTTACATACCCATTGAGCTAGAAATGGGTCTCAACGCTGAACTGAACTGAAATTTGGCTCAAACACGTCGCATTTTCCTGGAATATTTCATTTCATTTCTCTTRAAAACCTATTATTTGAATAAAAGGGTTTGTGGTATAACTGATTTTTTCGTCATTGMATTTGACATAATAAGAATCGGATAAAACTCTACCTCTACGGGATACTTGTCATAGCATCAACAGACGTTTTTCATTTTGACATAAGAACTTTCATATTATTGATTTAAAATATTAGATTTGACAGGATTCAATCGAAGTATAACTTCAGATATTTAATAAATATATAATATTATATTTTAATGAATGCCGAATAATTCCGATCAGGTAAATTGACTGCACAATTTCGGTATAGTCATAAATTTGAGTAAATTTCTYGTATGAAAATGTGATCTAAGTGATATTTAGATTTAATAGTGTTCCTCCTAAGCAGACAAGAAACCAATGCAATAGAACTGAATTACAGATGGAGTTGCAAAAAAACGCGTATTCGATGCTGGTTAACAGGGAGACATAACACCAAATATCAGAGTGAATACATAATTACAAAATCTGAGTTTAGTTCGACGATAGCTCAATATTTTTTCCGGTATACCGAGACTTATAAGTGAAAATAAATTATGAATTAATTTTCTCACATTGAAGTGATGACTAAAAGAGGAATGCAGGAAGGCAGGAGGATAAAGTGAAAGCCCCTTTTACACACATGAAAACTTTATAAGCATGTACTTGTATTCATAGCACGGCCCGTTCCTGGACTAACTTTTGATCCCACAGTATGTATGTACGCATGTACTCGTATTTACATTGTTAGACTACAAGACTTAAGCAATTGTCGCAGCGACATTAAATATTATGTATAGTATGTTTATGTATGAAGTACGCATTGTTTGGCTTTATATGTATTGCGTACATRCAAATATACATATACTCGTATAGGAAATGATAAAAGAAAAAAGTTGAAAACAAAAATTATAATGATGAAAATATAATCGAACAATAATGCAAAAATGTTGAATAGCAATGCCAAGAAGCAGCAAAATGTAATGTTAATGAAGCAAAACAACAAAAACAAGAAACGCTTTGAAAATATGTATTTGTCGAAAAGGGTGTTGTTATTTTAATTTTTCAATGTAAAATGTGTCTTAGAAAATGCAAAATTTGTCACTATAATTTGGAAATGTATGTACGTGTAAAATTTAAAATTTAAGTAAAAAAAAACATAAAAAAAATAATTGATTAAACAATTGCTGTGTGAAAAAAATTAAAACTGCACACTCGAAGAGCACACACAGTCGTTGAATGTCAGCGCTAGAAATCCAAAAAATTCAAAAACTATAAATCAATTTTCAAAAATATATATTAATTAAAAAGTTGTTTTCGGACATAACTGCAAAAGTGGCATTTACGGAAAAGTATAAAAATATTAACRGAAATTTGTAACTCAATTGAAAAAGGCGCTGACGTAACGTTTTAACCAYATTTACAACAGACGTAAGCGTAAAATGTAATTTCGAAAACTCAATTGACCTCCGACAATCATCATATGATATCTCATCGTATTCGGAAACTACTTTTATTGAACTTGTTCTTATGTTTGACTTTGTTGTAATTTTTACAGGTTTATCGTTTAATACAAATATTATATTATAAAAGTATTAGAAAAATTAAAAGTTCAAAAATGTATTCAGGCTTTTATAGTTTGATTTTCCAACGAAATACTCTCATATGCGAAACTTTCTTACACAGCGGGCGTGACTCTGATTGACGAAAAGTGCTCTGAAATCCAACAATTTTTTACGCTTAAGTAAGTCTTAATAGTCAGCGATATTTTCTGGCAGTGAAGACTATTCTGACAAAAGGCTTGAAATTTAAAACAAATATCGATCGACTTATCGAAAATGGTATTTGGAATCAAAGAAGTCACGTATTTGAAAATAAATGAAATGAATGAAATAAAAGACGTTTCAAACAGACCGTTGATTGAGTCAATTAACAATACTGCCTRTAAATATTACATTAAATTTAAGTGGCTACGTCCACTTATAAGTGTTTTATCTTTGTTTTTGGTTTTAGAAGAGTCATTTCAGTTAATAGATAATTAACAAAATTTTATTTACCGAATTCAATGTTCTTTAAGAATGGGCGATTTATTTTGAAAAGTTTTGGATTCCCTTGACTCCGTAACTGATTTTCTGAAGGGCCTTCAAAAACAGGTGCCAGGCGGTGAGAAATATTTTTCTGCTTAATGATAATAATAATTATTATAGATGAATACCGGCGGGCTAATCAATATTTTGATTTTTGGCATCCCAAAAATAAGTTTTTTTTTGTGAAAGAATTTATTTATCAAAACTAATATCAAAAATCTTAATCCTTAATCATTACATATAAATATGTTTCGGAAAATTGTGTAAAAATTTTTAATMGATCAATCTCACTGTTTCGCAAAATTTTCATTACAGCTAATTGACTGTATGTAACGCCTTTAAAGGGTGGGTAAGGTTCTCATGGTAAAAAATTACTTTTTTGCGAATTTATTTYTTAAA